ACCACAAACATATACGTATACAGACACACACACACAAAATACTGGCTTAGAATGAAAGAAAAAGGAAAGGTAGAGAGGAGACGAGAATAAAAGCCTTTTGCGTCCTAATGACCACTTTCATTCCAAAATCAAAACACTTGCTTTGTCCTAAAAAAAACGAAAACGAATGCTCAAGGGCGTGTTTTCCAACATAATAAGATGAAAATGAGAGAAATTAGTGAAAAAAGATGACGGTCATTCATTCTTCACTATGACCATTAGACCGAAATATATAGCGACCCCCATAAATTAAAAGCTTATACATGCGTAAGGAAGATCGATAGGCGGTTTAGATTACATTATAGCTGGGATTGTCTATCTATCTAAAGTTGGCTATTATTCTAAAAAAAAAAAAAAAAAATGCATGTCTTTTTTTTTTTTAAATATCGGCTGAAGTTTTTAATCCTGAAGTCTCTCCCTTTGAGCAATCAAGCTGGTAATATTAGGCCTGGTCTAGTCTTTTATTTTTATTCTGAAGAGTAAAGATTTGAATAGCTAATATCCCTCCGCTCCAAAATATGAAGAAAAAAAAATATTGCTCGGTTAAAAAAAGACTAACCTTTATATGTAGAATAAACAATGCACACATGTATAGACAAACAGGCGGGATAGGTAGGTGTAAGCGTATAAATATGCAGCACATATACACACGAACAAGCAACTGAAACGCATTTACATAAAAAACAAACACACATACCAGAAGACACACACACACACACAGATACCTACTTACACACACACACACACAGACACACACACACACACACACACACACACACACACACACACACACACACACACACACACACACACACACACATACAGATACCTACACACACAAACATACACACACACACACGCCACCCTTTCGCATGCATACGCACAAGAGCTCGCACACACACGAACTCACGCGCATGTCGAAACTTCCTCGAGCGCTGAGTGTCTGCAATGTCTGCAACAAGTACGCGAAACAGTTGACTCAACCGTTATGGAAATGGCTCAGACGATCATGCGAGAGAGGCAACTGCCCCGAGACGTTCTTCGTGCGAAATAATTGTATACATACAAGCGTTTCGATCTATATATATTCAGAATGTCATTCGAATTTTATTTGTCGTTTCTAGGCATCTGTTTTTTTTGGGATCATTTTTTTGGGGGGGGGGGGGGAGTGGTATTCACTTCGCTAAAGTCTCTGCCAATTAACGCCACTTCCTTTCACGCCATGTTCGGATCACGGTGCATGCTTCGACCACTTCATGCCTAGTTCGAGACATGCTATATACATCGATCACCTGACTCCGCACCTTGTCAAGATACGGAACATGCTTCATTCAGTGACCCTACGTGTTCGAGTTTGTTTTGGTACGTGTTCGACAAATTCGGGTCTCAAATGCATGTATTATTAATGGGTGTGGCGATATCACTACACGCACTTGTGGATCACACGCATGTAAACATACATAAATGCTGCACAGTTACAAACACCGGTATTAATATACGGTTGTATACTTGTTGAATAAACTTCTTTCTTCATATTTTATCTCTCAATAAAACTATAATAGTATCTATAATTTTCATTCGAAATCTATCTCTTGCCTTAATATGTTGATATTTGTATTTCTCTTTATAAATCAGTGTATATGTGGGCTTGAGAACTTACATATCAAGAAGATTAAATGCTGTCTCACTGAACAAGAAACATGTCAATATTTTTGTTATGCAACCGATCTTGGCAGTACAAAATGCTTTATTAACGAGAGGCCAGATTATCAGTGTGTATATTTATTACATTGCTTTAACCTTTACTTATTAACTATAGCAATAAGATGTGATATTTGCATTCATCACAACTATAGTTTCCTTTTATTCCGAAAATCTAAGTTTGAGAAAATCCAGCAACGGATATCGGTTAATTTTTTTTTCTCTTCAAATTTTTCTTTCTTGTTTCTCGAACTGATCAGACAATGAAGTCTATTATTCGTCAGGCATTGTCTTCGATATTCCTAAGTGATTAGCATATTCGGAAAAAAAACCTAAGGCACAAAATAATACGTAGGAAACGAAACGATCGAACATACAAATGGCGTTCACAACATCATTCTCTGGCATTATAAAGAAACGAATAACTTGTTTTTAATTACTCGATCGACTGATTGGCTAAGTAGTGTAGTGGACTTCGGTCGGTCGCTAGTTATTAATAAAAAAAGTGGAGATTGTTCCATTTGCTATAATATCAAACTCACGTTTTCCTCCTGAATAATCACTTTGTACCCCGATATATTTAGCATTCATATCTGAAATGTAAAATGTGAAATGAAGTAAAGTTAATTTCTGTAGTGTAATAGCTTTCCATAAAAGAAAAGATGAATATTATATAATTTCCTGTTGTTATTAATTACAAACAGAAATCTATAAAAAGCTAAAGTGTGTGAAATGTTAATACTAGGATATTACTCATAAGTTGAGATAAATCTAAGGTTTAAATACAACATAAGGATCATTTTATAGAGAGATTATTTTGATCCCTGGTTTAGCTCTGTATAATTCATGTAGACCTAATGAAAGCTTAGCAATAATAAGGATAATAGAAACCTCGTTTAGATCATTCATTTTGATAAACATTTTCGAGCGAACAAGAACGTATCCCAAAATGAGTAATGAAAACTGAAGAAAATGTCATAGTCAGGCGAAATCCGAATAAAAAAAAAAAAAAAAAAAAAAAATCGAAAAAACGCAAATAACTCCATATTCTATAGCACGTCCCCTCTTTTAATGCAAGAATAGAGGTCAGTATCAATTGCAAGATCTTGAGTTATCAGGACCGTGACCCGGGAGCAGCCCTGGGGGATACTGCACCATCCACGTTGTCGCAGGCACGCATA